CTGGGTATATATCCAAAGGATTACAAATTGTTCTACTATAAGGACACGTGCGCACGAATGTTCATTGCAGCACTGTTTACAATAGCAAAGAACTGGAACCAACCCAAATGCCCATCGACGATAGAATGGATAGGGAAAATGTGGCACATATACACCATGGAATATTATGCATCCATCAAAAACGATAAGTTTGTGTCCTTTGTAGGGACATGGATGAACCTGGAAACCATCATTCTCAGCAAACTGACGGAAGAGCAGAAGATCAAACACCGCATGTTCTCACCCATAGGCGGGTGTTGAACAATGAGAACACATGGACACAGGGAGGGGAGCACTACACACTGGGGTCAGTTGGGGGGAAATAGGGGAGGGACGGTGGGGGGTGGGGAGCTGGGGAGAGATAGCAGGGGGAGAAATGCCAGATGTAGGTGATGGGGAGGAAGTCAGCAAATCACACTGCCACGTGTGTTCCTATGCAACAATTTTGCATGTTCTTCACATGTACCCCAAAACCTAAAATGCAATAAAATAAATAAATGGGAAAGAAAAAAATTTAACTTGCTACCAATATTTTTTCACACAAATATTTTGAATATTTTCTTTGATTTTCTGATACTTTAGCAGATTGTTTTACTTTCAATTCCAATTAATAATTTGCATGTGATTTTCAAAGTATATTTTTTAGGAATATTTTCTTTAGACTAGATATATCGTGCTATAGCATTGGCATGAATAACATTTCAATGTTAAAATTCTTTTACAATAAACTAAATTTCCCCTATCTTTAGCTACTCATTTTTAAGTATAACTAAAGCATTAGCAAACGTTGAATCTCCCTTATCTCATCGTAGCATTTCACACAAACATTATCTCTTGCTATGACAAGTTTTTTAATTTCATTTCAGCTTTCAAGTACTTAGAGAATGGTTATGAAACTATAAATTTGAAATTAATTTAGTAAGTGGTTTACTACAACTTAAAAGCATTATATCTGTAACAGTTTATCCTATTTAGTAGATATGTGGTCTTATAAAACTATAGTTTTTCAAGATGTTTATATTTCTAACATATACTAATAAATTTATCCTTCCGAATTTATTTTTTATTAAAGAGAGAGCTCAAGTATTAATAGATTCATATTTCACATGTGAAAGAACATATACCAGGAGATTAACTGTTTTAGGAAATTTGGGAGATACTTGGTAGTAAATTATTTTGTTTATGAAAACATATCTTCTATAAAATAAGCATTGATTTTCTAAGCGATTTAGATTTCTATGTATGTAAGGCTGCATTGGCAGAAGATATCGTTAAATAAAAAACACATCTTTGTATTTTGTTCTTTATACTGACTCTTTCAGGAAGATATTATTGGTATAATCTGAGGTGTAAGAAAAATAACTTCTTGATACCAGCTAACATCCAATTTAAGTAACACAGCATCTCATTTTTTTCTCCAAAGATCTATACCTTTGGGAGCAGTAAGAGAAAATCTTTTTCCTAGGGGAAATTCAAAATTAGAAAGGTCTCAGAGAAAGGAAGACTTCTGTTTGATCTCCATCATATCCCTCCAAAACAAATGAGCCCTGGGAACATCCTTTAAGAGGGAAGAGCAGTGGACTTAGGCCAAGCCCTTCCACAATTGAGTTTTCAAAATCTTGTGTTTGGTGACAGTTATTGATCATATGTTTCTATGTAATTCCTTCACCTCGTCTAGTGACTCTAGTTTCTGATTTCTCCTTTCTGATCTTTCAGCTAGCTCTGAGAAGGAGTTTCTAGCTCCATTTGCACTTCCATTTCCATTTGTTCATCTTTCTTACACACTGGCCAGATGCTTGAAGTATGATTCTTTATTCTTGCACTGGGTCACCTGACTATACCCCCTCTCTAATTATTTAGCCTTAATCTCAGTGAAGGTTGGTCTAATAATGATATTTATAAATATACATTTAAAATTTCTGATAACCCAGTCTTACCAATTGCTGTCTCTTTACCATATCCATGGGCTGCGGTCAGTTTTGTTAAAAGACTGTGGTCAAAAGCTATTTTTTAATAGAGACATTTTTACCAAGGAAAGTCATTTCTAGTGCTAATGGAGTTCAGACGAGTTCAAATTTGCTTAGGAGGCAGATTTGTCCTCCTTGGACATACAATATACTGAGCCCAACCCTGGAAGTAGCACTATGTCCTTGGGCAAAATAAAAGTTCTGCCAAGACCCTGACAGTATTAAGTAATTCCTCTATTGGCATCCTCCTTCCAAATGCATTAAGACATTAAAGGCCAATACATTAAGTCACTTGCACCTTAGTGTGAATCAATTTATCAGAATGTTTTTCTCCTGAAAGGACTGGGGGTGCAAATGATGAACGGACAAGAAGGGAAAAAGGAATGCTGAGAAAAATGTAGCCTGTACAGAGGAGAGATGCCCTAAAGATTAACTACTCCAACCTTATTTTTCACTATGTAATTTTCTATTACTCATTGCATAGCAAAGAGAATGAAGAAACCAAAACCACCGGTTATCTTTACCGTAAATCCAGGTATGCATAAACATCTCGAGCCAGGTTCATTTTCCATGCACAGTTCATGAACACATGAGTTGGGAATGCATTCAAGTTCTTTCTCACAGTGGCGTCCAGACCATCCTGTTAAACAAAATTACAAAGAAGATATGAAATTTTTTTTTCTTTTTTAAGATAGGGTCTTGCTTTGTCTCAGGTGCCAGGCTGGAGTGCAGTGGCACAATCTTGGCTCACTGCAACCTCCGCCTCCTGGGCTCAAGCAACTATCCTGCCTCAGTGTCCTGAGTAGCTGGGACTACACGCACATGCCACCTTGCCCAGCTAATTTATTTTTGGATTTTAGTAGAGATGGGGTTTCAATATGTTGGCCAGGATGGTCTTGATCTCTTGACCTCATGATCTACCCGCCTCGACCTCCCAAAGTGCTGGGATTACAGGTATGACCCACCGTGCCCGGCTGCAATTTTTTAAAATAATAAAAACAGTTATGTTAATAGCTTATATTTATTGGCTTTTACTATTTGAAATAATTATGCTAGGTGTTTTGTACAAATTGCCTCAGTGTATCTTCATGATCAATCTATATCTATGTATGTATCTATCTATTTATCTGTCTGTCTATCTATCTATCTATCTATCTAGCTAGCTAGCTAGCTAGCTATTGAGGTGAAGTTACCCTCTTGTTGCCCATGCTGGAGTGGAATGATGCGATCTCAGCTCACTGCAACCTCTGCCTCTCAGGTTCAAGCGATTCTCCTTCCTCAGCCTCCCAAGTAGCTGGGATTACAGGTATGTGCCACCACACCTGGCTAATTTTTGTATTTTTAGTAGACACAGGGTTTCTCCATGTTGGCCAGGCTGGTCTCAAACCCCTGAACTCAGGTGATCCACCCACCTTGGCCTCCCAAAGTGCTGGGATTACAGGCATGAGCCACTGGGCCCGGCCATCTTCATGATCATATTTATCAGGTAGCTATTATTCTATATCTATTTAGTTCATGAGAAAATTAAACTCAGAGAAAATAAATAACTTGCTGTAAAATCATACAGTTAAGTACAAATAAAAGCGAGTACAAGTACGATAAGTCTCAGCTCTTATTCGTGGTGCCATTCAACATTGCATATATAAATGTCTTTACCTATTTTATGTTGGAATAAATACATGGAAGGCAATAGAATAAGGACACTTCATAATTCCCTTAATATTATTCTTAAATTCTGAAGAAAGCAACTACTATGGATATCTAGATATACAATGTTTTTGTAATACTTGTAGTATTACTGTTAGTATTTGTTACAATGTGGTTCTCTGGAATATAAATATGGTATCTTTGTACATTTGGCCATTGGCTGTAAAAATTCTCCTTAAACACGACAATCTAATTTTCCATACCAAAACGTAATTTGATTGTATGTATTTTGTTTGGCTTTTGCTAGTCAAACATTTCATTATTTTCATCATCAACCTATTGACCAACATTGCTAAGTACTCTATAAGCTAATATCTCAGCTATAATTTACTGGGTACATACTTATCAGGAACACTTTTTGAAACCATTGATTCTTTCCTATCAGATAATTACTTCTAGTGAATCTTAATATGCCTAACATGCTATCCACAACATCATGTTAACCTAAATATACCCTACTACATAGGGACAATGGGTCTTCACAGGCAGCTCTCACTGCTCACTGACTAAATATGATGACTGTAATTACAACTTCTTAACTTTTATTTTTCTATGTATTGTCTATTAGCATTTAATCTGAACCCTGGCTGTTGGGAAATGTAAAACTTATCGTTCATACTTAGGAAGATATTCTGATTGTTCTCCCGTAATAAATTGTAACAAAACAATTAAATACATATTTTGAGGTAATTAGAAATGATTTACTGAAATATTGCATTATAAGAAAAAAATAAGGCCAGACTTTAAAAGACATGGCAATGTCCACATCAAGCTTGGAAATAGCTGCCAAGAGACTAAATTTATCAAATCCTCATCCAAGACTCTTTCCACTTTTCCAATGCTCTTTCATATGCTGAGTTGATTCCACTGGGAACTCTACTAAGGAGGCTATAAAAGGTTATATGGAAAAAACCATCTTTGCAGGGTTTATAAAAAGCCAATATGACTAGTCATTCACATAGTTGAGTCTCACAAACATATTACTGAGCATAAAAATATATTCCATAAAAATACACCCTGATAAATGTGCTTATAAAATTCAAATGCATATGAAACTTAATAATATTGCTTAGAAATGCATATATACATATATATATATATATATATATATATATATAAAATAAAACTCTAAGGAATACTAAGCAAATGTTGAATATAAAATTCACAGTAGTTACTTCAGGGAGTGGTATGTCCCTGGAGGCATATAGAGGAAGTGAGAATTATTGCTAATATTCTATTTCTCAGAACACATGGTGTTATACACATTTATTACAGTTTATATTTTTATGTATCTTCTTTTGATTGAATAAAATATTTCCAAATATATTTTAAGCAATTAAAATGATGACATAGTTTTTCTTTTGCTTCCTATACTGTGAAGAACATGACAAACCTTTAAACCATAAGATGGGAATTGTAAAAGAAAAATTGCACTGGACCAGTTATACAGACAAGGAAGACTTTATTCAAGATCACTGAAATAGGAGACAGAGACTTTTACAATAGGGGAGAGAGCTTGCACTCAATCCCACTAAAATAAATGGCAGCAGGAAGATTTTTAAAGGCCCGGTGAAGTAACAGAAAAGTACTGGGGGGATGTTTGTGTGGGTGGGAATTTGGTCAGTGTGGTTAGGCCACCTGTACTTGCTGACTGTCTCTTACTGAGGTTAGGGTTCTACTCTCCCAAAGAGACTGCAAAATAAGGGCACTATTTGTCTCCTTCCAGGGTTACATTTTGTTTTGTTTTTCATTGTTGTTGTTGTTACTGCTGTTTTGTTTTGTTTTTGAGACAGGGTCTCGCCCTGGTGCCCAGGCTGGAGTGCAGGGGTGTGATCACAACTCACTGCAGCCTCAACCGCCTGGGTTCAAGCAATCTTCTTACTGCAGCCTCTGGAGTACAACATTACATTTTTAAGGAAAGACTTCCTGGTCCATGAGAAACAGCCTGAGAGAAGATATACATCTCAAAGAGACAGAGAAATAATTTACAACTACAAGTTTTCTAAAGTAAATGCTCTAAGGACAGGGAGATCGGGACCTATAGTCAGGAAGAAGTCTGTTTAAAGCCTAGTCAAGCTGAGAAAAACATTAAGGCTGTCTTGGTCAAAGACAACAAACAAGGATATAAAATAAGTCAAGAGGCATTCTGTCCCCTGAGCCAGGTTTAGGAAGATGAGAAATATTAAAGCACCATTAGAATTTTTGAGTTCAAGAACCCATTGTGCCAATCCAAGGAAGGCTGATTACCAGGAAGCTGCCAATTCAATGCACCTACACACTGAATTAATGACTCTACAGTGAGATCTGCTGCAAAGACCCACATATTTCCATGACTGTTTTAACAGAAAAATCTGCTAAGATACCCAGAAATGGTCTCCATTAGAGCCTTGAGATTTTAGGTATGTTTATTATTGGTGGAACTCAATAATATTTGCAACTCCAGCTTTCAGGGAGTCTGGAAATTGCAGCTTTTAATACTGTACTTTTGCCTCTGTAGTACAGGAAACCACATTAGATGGGGTGAAAGTTTCTAGGAATTTATCCATTTCTTCCAGGTTTGCAGGTTTATGTGCATAGAGTTGTTTGTAGTAATCTCTGATGTTAGTTTTCATTTCTATGGAATCGCTGGCAATATCCACTTTATTGTTTTTTATTGCATCTATTTGATACTTCTCTCTTTTCTTTTTTATTAATCTGGCTAGTGGTCTATTTCGTTGAACTTTTCAAAAAATCAGCTCCTGGATTTCTTAATTTTTTGAAGCGTTTTTGTTTCTCTATCGCCTTTAAATTTCTGAGCAAAATATGCATTTGAAGTTTGCATTACCACCAATATAAACCATTGCACCCCTGCTGGGTATAAAAGGTATCTGGGCACAGTTACTGTCCAGGGATTGAGAACAACTCTGAGTGAATTTGCAGTACAGAAACTATTCCCTATTACTTTCAATTTGCTCCTCATGGGATAGGTCTGATTTCACTTACTGGGTGTTTAAGATTGTATTCAACACTATACATGGTACTATTTAGGCTAAAAACAAACTAAGTGTGTTTCTAGTTCTAGAAAAACCATCTGAATACCTATATTGATACTTCATTGGAAATGAGCTCAAAAATCCATTTAATTACCTATATAGGTACAGGAAGAGCTCTGTAATTAGGACTGTCCTAAATGATATTCAGATTGTTTCTTGCTCAAAGACCTCATGCAGAGAAGATGAGTGATGTATAAAATCTACCCTGTGCTCCACTTGTTCAGTATTACACCTTGTTGGCTTGGAGGAAGGGGTATATTTATATAATTTTTCCGCCTAGAGATGGTGGAGGGCTTTATGCTCACCATGGCCCTGTCAGTAACTGAACAACATAGGCCATCTTAAACGAATTGTACCTTTTCAGTATGTACTGAACACTCCCGCAGGACCCATTACAATACAAACTCTCTATGAGGATTTGGTGGTACAAAAATAAACAACATTTAGAATGTCTTCTAACTCGCTTATATCCAGTTTAAATTTCAGTGTGTTTTGGAGAATATCTGGTAGGGAAACCAGTATTTAGTTTTTCAAACTGTGTTCTGTTCAGCATGTTGCAGGAGTCACACAGCTCTGTTTGTACTAAAATGGAGAAGGAAGGGAGAAAAGAGATAAAATTACAAAACTTTCGGCGTAGAGGAGGAGTTACCCAGGGTTACAACAGTGGAAGTGTTGTTAGAAAGACAAGAGAATTTTGATAATTCGCAACATAATGTGAATGTAAGAAAGATTTCCACAACTGAGGAAAATGGCAATGATTTATAGTGTTTAACCAATTTAAGACAAAGGAATACTTAGTGTACTTTTCTACCTGGAACTGTGTAAGATAAAGATAATGGCATGACTGAGGTCAAAGCTTAGAAAAGAATTATCAAAATTGTTTAAGGCTTTTTAAAAATGAATGACATAGAGAAGTGGACATGTGTAAATGAAGAGGATCAGCCTTTGTGTTTTTCTATGGCATTTAGGAGAAAGCAAATTGCTATGAACTACTCAGGAGAGTGAAAAGTTTTATATTTTTGCTAATGGAATCATTTAAAGAGAAAATCAGACAGATTTGGGTGGGAGACTTTGAGAATTCTCACAGTGGTGAGAATTGCTAACATCTAGACTAAGCTGCACCATGCTGATGGATTTTATTGTGGAAGTTTTTTTTTAATGATTGAATTATTTTTTAATGATTGAATTTTTTACTGTAGTAAGCACATTTAACATGAACTCTCACCATTTAACACGTTTATATAATACATTACTATTAACTATAGGCATGATATTATATAAATCTCTAGCAATTATTCATTTTGCATAACTGAAACTTTATACTTTATGGGGAGTTTCTCTTCACCAATATAACATTTTGGGGGAATAGGAGAGATGATGAATGTACAAGTGTCAGTACAGACTTCTTAGGTGTGGATCTTAGCTCTGCCACGAACATGTTGTGAGACATTACCCAGTGTTTCTGGGACTCTGTTTCCTTATTAGAAAAAGGAGATGGGCAAAATGAGATGCCCTTTTCTCAACGTTGTTATGAAAACTTAATCAGTTAATACATCTAAAATACCTTGGTATCTATGCAGTAATATTGATATTATTATCATAATTTCCTAAGCACATACATGCCAAAGAACCCATACATTTGACTTTTGAAATATAAAATTCATAAAACAAGGAAAAGAGCTCCAAAAAGGGTAGAATTTTCAACTAAAAAATAGAGAAAAAAAATAGTTTTCTATCAAAATCAGTTCCTTCTGGGGATTAAGAAAAAGTTAGTACAAAGGGACAGCATGAGCAAATTTTGGAGGATGGTGGTTAATTGCCTTACTGTGAGGGTGGTTATACAACTTTAAGCATTTGCCAAAACCATAGAATTGTACACCAGAGAGTTAATGTTACTGTGGGAATAAAAACACCCTGAAACTAAAGCAAACTACGCTCATAAAGAAAATGAGAGACGGATGAAGAATAATCTGCAGGAGAAAGATTATTGCTAAATAACTTTAAAGGGCGGATGGATTGGCAAGATTAAAAGCTATGACTGGGGCCGGGCACAGTGGGTCACGCCTGTAATCCCAGCACTTTGGGAGGCCAAGGCGGGTGGATCATGACGTCAAGAGATCTAGACCATCCTGGTCAACATGGTGAAGCCCTGTCTCTACTAAAAATACAAAACATTAGCTGGGCATGGTGGCACGTGCCTGTAATCCCAGCTACTTGGGAGGCTGAGGCAGGAGAATTGCCTGACCTGGAGGTTGTGGTGAGCCGAGATCGCACCATTACACTCCAGCCTGGGTAACAAGAGTGAAACTCCGTCTCAAAAAAAAAAAAAAAAAAAAAAAAAAAAAAAAAAAAAAAAAAAGCTATGGCTGGAGCAGAGACAGGAGGTTTGGGTGGTGTCAACAGCATTTTCTAAAAATTTGTTTTTTTCATTTGCCACTTAGTTTTCGCTCCCATAACTAAGTTTTGAAGAGTGTAAATCAGTCAAAGATATCAGCAAATTCTGAGTAACTCCTAACAGCACAGAGGAGTATCATTTTGAGGCCTTCTGCTTTCCAATAAGTATCTGAAAAGTAGCCTCATCATATGGCTTTATCTGAATGATTCAACAGTTTCAAAATCAGTCCCATGCTTCCAAGTGAATCTAGAGTAGTGGAATTAACCTATAGCATCAAAACTAATCTAGCACCTGTAAGATATTTATTAACATAAAACAGAAAATGAAGCTAAAAGTTATAAGATACCTATTATTATGAAAAAATTTATATGGGCATTTTACTTCTTAACTGTTTTTGTAGAATTTTTTATTGTTTATGCTAGTTACCATAGAGTATTAAGTGTTCAGGGCACAATAAAGATATATATATATATACACATATTTTGCTTGAAAGGGGCAAAATGTATGAAATAGTATTCATTTCTTATATAAGAAAACTAATTTTATTCTACTTACTTTACCTACAAAAGTTCCAGTATTATGTACAAGTGTGTATTTCAAAAGGCAAGTGCAAAGTTCTCCAGATGTTCTATGTGACCAAATAAAGCCTAGTACTGGTAATAAGTGTTCAAAAAATAGAGCAGGTCTATGAGTGATGTTTAACTTCTCAACACTATGCGGGTGAGACTCAGTTGATAGGTATTCACCAGTTTGCATGACTTCATATAAATCATATTAATCCTAATACTCGCATGGCTATTATTTTTTTAGTGGAGCCAATAACCAGAAGCCCAGAACCCACTTGGTTTCCATAAGCTTTCTGAAGTCTTCTGTAAGTTCTGTGAATAGTGACATTTTTTTTTTTTTTTTCTAAGAGATGAAGTCCTTCTATATTCCCCAAGCTGGAGATCTGTGGCTATCCACAGATACAATCAAAGCATACCTCAGCCTCTATCTCCTAGGTTCAAGTAATCCTCTCTTCTCAGCCTCCCAAATAGTTTGAACTATAGGCATGCTACTATCATGCCAGGCTCAATAATTTTCTTTAAAGTGACCAAAAATATCTCCTACATATTTTCCTGCAAAAGTATCGCTACTCAAGGTAGTTTAGGCATCCAACATCCCTTTTGGGTGGATGTAACTGAATGTTGAAAATAAGATGAGTGGCAGAAGATATAGGAAGAGAGCAACAAATCTGAAGTTAGAAATCTAAAGAAAAAGGAAGGACAAAGATGCAAGAACACCAATCACTTATATCAACATGGACCTAAAGGAATATGACCAAAGGTAGAGATGGTTCAAAAAGACCAGTTATTAATGAGCAGTTACACTGCTACTACAAAAATACCATAAACTGGGTAGCTTACACACAACAGAAATTTATTCTCACAGTTCTGGAAGCTGCAAGCACAAGATCAAGTTGCTGACAGATTCTGTGCCTGGGGAGAGCCTGCTTCGTGATTCTCAGATGGTGCCTCCTGGCTGTGTTCTCACACTGTGGAAGGGCCAGCTAGCTTAGCTCTCTAGGGTCTATTTTATAAAAGCACTAATCCCATTCACAAGGGCTCTACTCTCATGACCTAATCATCTTTCAAAGGTCCCACCTCTTAATACTATCATATTGTTGATTAGGGTTCAATATGTGAATTTCAGGGAGACACAAATATTTAGACAAATATTTGTCTATGTTTAGAAAATCCATGAATAAGGTATTATAGTCTAAACATTAAGATTTCCTGATCATAGCCTAAGTGCTTGCTTTTGAGTATCCTATACAATATTCATTTCAGGTTTTTAAAGAATAATCATTGCTTATAACTTCATAGTCAACAACAGTATTGGTGGAGTAAACTGTCAAAATTGTATTATACACACATGTACATTTACATAAACATATATATTATTTTAATATATATGTAGTATGCCTGATTATTATTTTTAAAATAATTACCTGGTTGGCATTTGCAAACATATCCATTGATGTGATCTTCACAGTTTGCACCATTTAGACATGGTGAGGAAGAGCATTCATTTATATTAATGTCACAAAATTGGCCAGAAAATCCAGGAAGACATCTAAGAAAAAAAAATTAAAAATATATTTGTATATATTGTACACATGGGCAATATCACTTTTCATCTTGGGATTCCATCACTCAAATGTGTTTTCAGAGCTCCAATAACATGTACCTGGGAGCCTATTTTGGAGTGATACAATGAGTTGAATTGTGGCCCCAAAACAGTATGTCTAATACTTAACACTAAATATCTGTGATTGTGACTTTATTTGAAAATCTGGTCTTTGCAGATTTAATTATGTGTCTTGAGATGAGGTTGTTCTGAATGAGCTCAGTAGGCTCTAAATCCAGGGACAAGTATTCTTATAAGCACAGAAGAGAGAGACCCATGGGGAGAAGGCCATGTGAATGTACACATAAAGATTGATGTTATGCAGCCCTAAGTCCAGGAACACCCAGAGCCTCTAGGAGCTGGGAGAGGAAAGATAGGATTTTCTCCTAGAGTTTTCAGAGGGAGCATGACCTTGCTGATACTTTAATTATGAACTTCTGATATCCACAACTATGAACAAATAAATTTCTGTTATTTTAAGCTAGCAAGTTTGTGGTCATTTGTTACATCATTCCTAGGAAACTAATACAGGAAATTACATTATTGTGCGTATCTGCTTAAATCCAAGTGAATTGTTTGAAAAGAAATAAAACAGAGGTCTCTAGGAGACTTCTTAAAATGGGGAAATTGGATGAAAGGTATGCTCCATAATAGGAAGAAGAGATATGGAAAGAGTCAATAGGTCAGAGACGATTGTATTTCCTCTTATTAATTTTTTAAAAATGCTTTTATATAAACCATTCAGATGTCACCTGTTAAACCATGTTTCAAGAACTGATGGAGGATCGACAACACTGATTAAAGTGTTATGTCCATAGCTATTGGTACAGATTTGTCCAGTACATACAACATGAAGACCCTTTATGAATGCTAAGAATACAAACACAAGTGAAACTCTGTGTCTGCCTTCAAGAAGCAACGAGCCTAGTTGGGAAAATAGACAAACACAAGTATATGATTGTATATAAGTGCTATAATCAGCATATAAAGAAATGAATTTTTGTCACCCAAGGGCAAGAATAAGAAAAGACTGTGAGTTAATCCAAAAATTGCAAGTAGTTCTGAATGGCTGAAATATACTGTGGGAGAGGACAGTCTGGTGATGCTGATGAAAACGGATAAATTACATAAACAGGAATTAGATCATTATATAGTATTAGATCATAAGTTTTACCACAGCTAATATTTACTGAAAACTTATTCACAATATATAACTTTACCAAAGTTATAATGCTAGCAAATTTGCAAAAGTAGAATTTATCAGTCTGTACTGCTTAGCTGGCCAAATTCAGCCACTCTATTTGGGTACACAGTTGCTTAGGTGATATAAAAGTTAAGTTCTGATTTTCACTGCAACTAACTTTACCCATCTAAAGCTAGGTAACTATAAATTTTAGACAATTCGGAATGCTAGTAACTCTATTATCCTAGATCCTTACCTAGCTGAAGACTTTCCTGACCAACAAACAATAAGACTTGCTTTAACCGTGTGTGGATTTATGGATGGTCTGATCTTGTACTGTCAAGATGAAATCTTCAGTATTCAATTGCCTCTCTCTCTTTGTAGCACAAAGAAACCCAGAGCAGTTTTTTTTGTTTTTTTTTGAGAGGAATTCATCACTAGCGGTTTACTCTTATATGCAAGATAAACTTATATGCAAAATAAACTCAAGGGTCATTTTGTCAGTATTTGAAGTGTTCATTGTCTTTCTGTGAATATCATAAGTTATTCTTCAAAGAAGCATTATCAATATATGTATCTTATTTATTTATTTATTTATTTATTTATTTTTTGAGGCAGGTTCTTGCTCTGTTGCCCAGACTGGAATGCAATGGAGTGGCCCAATTATAGCTCACTGTAATATAAAACTACTGGCCTCAAGTAATTTTCTCATCTCAGCCTCCCATGTAGGACTATAGGTGGCGTGCACCGTCACACCTGCCTAACTTTTGTGTGTGCATTCATTATATAAAATGGACATTTTGTGTGTGTCCATCATACAAAATGGGTCATACTATGTTGCCCAGTCACCCCATCAATTTATATTCTTGGCAGAATTATATAAAATATCCATATGTCTACATTCTTACCTATGAACAATATTAACATTGCTTATAATTTTCATTGCAAAGGAGAAAAAAATTACTTACTAACAAAGATTTTTTGAAGGGAGGAGTATAAAAAAAATTTAACAGAATTTGTATTTTGCGATAATTTTAGGCTAACAGAAGACTTGCAAGGGTAGCATAGAATATTCTCACATACTCTATATCCAGTTTCATTGATTATTAACATCTTAAATTAACATGGTATGTTTGTCACATATTACTACATTATTATTAACTAAATTTATGACACAATATTACTACATTATTATTAACTAAAGCCTATACATTATTGCAGTTTCCTTAGTTTTTACCTAAATGTCTTTTGTTTCTGTTCAAGAATTACCTAAATGTCTTTTGTTTCTGTTCAAGAATTCTATTCAGAATACCACATTACATTTAGTTGTCATGTCTCCTTAGGCTCCTTTAGACTCTAATATTTTCTCATACTTCCTTGTTTTTGATGACCTCCACTGTTTTGAAGAGCATTGGTCAAGTATTTTGTAAACTATACTTCAATTTAGGCTTGTTTAATATTATTCCCATGGTTACACTGGTGTTACAGGTTTCTGGGATAGACATCATAGAAAAGGCTCACTCTCATCACATTTTATCAACATTAATCTTTACAGGGAAGTTGCTGTGCACATCCCGTAATTAACAGATAAGGAGTCATGTACACCTCTTTAAAGGAGAAGTACCTGAATAAATAATTTGAAATAATTTATTCACGTATATTTTTAAAAACTTTTCTGGAATTTTGAGTGAAATTGCTTTTAATCTGTACATCAAGTTGGAAGAAACATCATCTTTGAGTTTTTCAACCTATTTGAAGAAACATCTCTCCACTTACACATATCTTCTTTGATTTATTTCATGGGTATTTTATACTTTTCTATGTAGAGATATTGTAAATATTTTATTATATTTATACCCAAATGCTTCATTTTTGTTTATTGTTCTAAGTGGTTTGTTTTTTTTGTTTCTTCTTTCCAATATTCCAGTGTTCATTCCTGGAAACCAACTGACCTCTGTACGATGATCTTTTATCATATAAACCTTGCTACACTGGCTTATTAGGCCCAAGAGGTTTTTTTTTCCTTTTTTTTAAATAGTAGATAGTAGAGTTTTCTACAAAGAAAATTATCTTCTCCAACAATAATTATTATACCTGTAAATAAAGACCATTCTATTTCTTCCTGTTCAATCAGCACACCTTTTATTTCTCTTCCTCATCTTATTGCACCCAGTAGGACTTTTAAAAGAATATTAAATAGCACTGTTGTGACAGGAAATGCTTGCCTGTATCAAATTTTAAGGAGAAAGGTTATAGTTTTCATCATTGAGTAATGTTAGCTGTAGGTTTTTAAAATGTAGCCTCTATTAGGTAAAGGAGGTTACCTTTTATTCTTAATCTGACAGTTTTTATGAGTGGAAATTGAGTTTTGCCAAGTGATTTTTGTGCATCAAGATTATATGATTTTTCTTATTCATCTGTTGATATCATATAATCATATTGATTAACTGATATATGATATGATAATGATTGATATAGTCATATGTATTTTTCTTGATCAAGTGTTAATATAGTGAATTAGATCGACTGCTTTGTGAGTGCTAAGCTTTGCTTTCCTAGAATGCACTCCACTTGCTAATTTCAGAGTATGTTATTGCAGTCATCTTCTTGTTATTTGTAAAGGGCCTATTATTTAAATTTTAAACTTTTAATGTTAAACTTTTACTCTTCGTTCCTTCAAGGTTATGTAATGTTTACATTCTTAGCTTGAATGGAGGAAACATTTTCAAAACTCCTATAAAATAGAAGTGCATTGCAATTTATAACCCTATGTTTCACAAAAATATTTACACAATGATCTGTAAAAATTTATAACATATGGGGAAATTGTGCTATTTATATTGGTATTATAAGCAGTTTTATCCCATACATATTTATTTACTTTATAAGCATTTTAATAAAATGCCTGACAGATTGAAATAACATACCTGACTTGTTTATAGAAAAGGATTTATTAAAAACTATTAAACACTACTACATAATGACACTGTCACACTAGGGTTTTGACACAAGAATTGCTCTGCCATACTAGGAGAATGGGCATAAAAGACAAATTAATTTTACAGCATAGCAACTATAAAATATAACACTCAAAGCAATTGTTAAAAATGAGAACTCAGGGCCGAGCGTGGTGGCTCAAGCCTGTAATCCCAGCACCTTGGGAGGCCGAGGCGGGTGGATCACAAGGGCAAGAGATCGAGACCATCCTGGTCAACATGGTGAAACCCCGTCTCTACTAAAAATACAAAAAATTAGCTGGGCATGGTGGCGCATGCCTGTAATCCCAGCTACTCAGGAGGCTGAGGCAGGAGAATTGCCTGAACCTAGGAGGTGGAGGTTGCGGTGAGCCGAGATCGCGCCATTGCACTCCAGCCTGGGTAACAAGAGTGAAACTCTGTCTCAAAAAAAAGAAAAAAAAAATGAGAACTCAGAACTTAGCATTAGACAGTCCCAATGTTATGCTTCCATTTAGCTTACTGATGCAAAAAATTTAGTTTAACTGCTATTTGCAGGTGACAGGAGCCACTCTCAAATGATTCTTCAAATTGGTAAACACTGTTTTACAACCTGTTGTTGCAGATAAGAAGTTAAATTATTTTGTATGGTTTGCAGCTGTTTGGATAACAACCTGGCGTGGATGCTTTCCAATAACCATGCTGCTAGTCACCACTTACTACCCAAGTCCCTCCTGAAAATCCTCCTTTAGGCCCTTACTAAGGTTGCTGATACTGTTCCTTTGATACAGCTACTTTTATTTTACATT